TATTATCTTCATACTATGGAGGAAGATATATATATATATATATATATATATATCTATATCTATGATAAGGCTTTGACTCATTAATTGATTCCCCCACTATTGAAGTCTTGACTTTATGTTTAAGGGGAGGGTCTTTTGTATTTTTAGGCCCTAAATTTGAGTTCTAACTTGTAAAGTTTCTATCAATTCATAATTATATTTAGTGATTGATTCATTTATGAGTCACTTATACGTTAATTGGTGGATATGTTTGGAACATGAACTTGTATATTGTAACACTAAGTTATCACTATATCAAAGGCTCAAATATGCGCTACCAACAAGTTTTTATAGAAGTTGAAATATCAATTAGCATGTAAAACTATAATCATGCATAATAATGTCAGAATTTTGTCCCTTAGAAACGGCCTTATAGGTTACTCTTCCTTGTTGACCACAGATTGTAGCATACATAAATTAGTCAGATCATTAAGATGATCTGACTTGTTTTTTCTTTATTAAGATTCTATTCCCATATCATGACACTCAGTGCTTTCAGTTGGCTAACCATTTGCCACAATGGGTAAGTTCTCGAATTTGTTATAGAAGAGTCAAACCCGCTGGAATATAAAAGCCTCTATATATATATGTGTGTCAACAATAGTCAAGCCAAGCAAGAAATACACAAATTATATTGTTATGGTTTGAAGAGTTTGCTTAGTCAGGGTGTCTTGCATGAAGAAGTGGAGATGGAATGTGGTGTAGCCAAGGATGATTTGCCTGCATTCTGATACCGCAGATATAGGCGGCATTGCTGGCAAGTTGTCCTTGTGTACATCTACTTCTCGTCTTCTCATGCAAGGCCCCTGATCTGAGATAAGCTAGACATAGACAAGCTACCAGAAAACAGGATTTCATATTTTAGTGACATATCTAATCTGATTTTGGATCCGCTGGGGCATACTTTCATAGTGCAGTACTTTCCTCATGGAGCATATAATATGATCAATTCAAAAGCCTTAATATTTTCCATTGAAGCTCTTGACCCCTCTGTTGGGTACTTAAGGAGAATCATTTCATTGCTGATTTCATCATTCTGATTCATGCCCATTGACATGTCAAAATTTCCTAAATCCTTAGCTCTACAAACAAGCATGTATACATAATTAACACAGCTTCTTTGTAAAATAGGTGTAGCTAGCAAACTTATTCAGTGATAATTTCTGTCAAGCCTCCTCCAAATCCAGCTCCAAAATGTCCATGTTTCTCACAACATTCCTTCCTGTAGCTCTTGCAACATCCGCCAACTTCCCTTTTCTCCAAGCTCATACAACTAGCCCTAGCCACGCACTTGTGTGACTCAGTATCTTGACGCTTAAGACAACTGTGTTCTACCAAGTTTCCTACTGCTTCATGCCTGCTATGGTTTTCACCACAACATTTGGGGTGCTGGTGGTGACTAGTTTCAGTCACTTTCTGTCCGTCCTCAGTAGTGCTATGATGGTGGCAGTGTCTTTCTCCATGGATTCTGTCATCTTCAACACAGACATGTTGGTTTTCAACCAATTTTGTGCAGTTATCCTCAGCACAAAGGCTCAAATTTTGTGTGCCTGAGCAACAATTGCTAGCCTCAATATCATGACTCACTGTGTTACAGCTTCCATGGTCACAATGCTTTGCCTCATCAGATTCTTCCTTGAGAACACAAATGTCATGTGTCTTACTTGTGCTCACACACCTCGTATCCCCACATGAATTCAAATTAGAAGGGGTAGACTGACAATTTGAAGCGCACTTTTGCGAAGAACACTTTTGAGCCTTACATCCCCTTTGAACTTTATTTTCCAAAGGACGAGCATGCTTATGATTGTGAGACGAGTGGCAATGGCTAGATTTGCATCCATTTTTATTGGAATGAGATGATGCTGAAAATTTGCAGCACTTCCCTCCATGTTTGTGTGTTCCTCTCAGTAGAAGCATACTATTCAGAATCACCAGCAAGCATGTCCCAACATCACAAAGAACTGCAGCCCACACAAGTGGATGACCAGCGAATGCCAGAGCTAGAATTGCAGTCTTTGTACTGATTGACATAGTGACATTCTCAATCACTTTCCTATGAGCCCTTCTTGCTAGCTGGATAGCTTTTGGTATTTTTCTAATATCATTTGACATGAGAATTACATGTCCAGTTTCTGTTGCGAGAGCAGAACCCGAAATTCCCATTGAGATACCAATGTCAGCTGTAGCAAGTGCTGGTGCATCATTCATGCCATCTCCAATCATTGCTGTTGTCCCTTCTTTCTTAAACTCTTTGATTATTTCTGCCTTATCTTCAGGAAGAAGCTCCGCGTGGATGACATCCAAACCATTGCTTAACTGCACATAGAACATTGTTACTTAATAAGCAAGAGAACAAGCTACAGAACTATTAATATGATTTAAAGCTTAGAAGGTGCACCTGTTTCTGCACATGTGATGCTGCTGCTGTATTGTCTCCTGTAAGCATGGCAGTTTTAATCCCCATTAATTTTAGCTCCTCCATTGCCTCTGCTGCCCCAGTTCGACAGGAATCAGAAAGATTGAAAATTCCAACTGGGTTTGCTCCAGAGTATACATATCCCAAAGTCTTTCCTTCTTTTGAACTGCCTTCAACATTTGGGACTGCATATATTAAAAAAATATCAATGTTGGAACAACAATGAACCGAATCTGTCTATTCAATAATTTCAAGGGAAAGGAGGTAATTGCTTTCACCTGCTCCACCAGCTCTACGTGAAATTTTTCTGCTGCCAATGTACACATCTTTCCCTTCAATTTTTCCATATATACCTTCACCAGGGAAATTTTGATATTCCTCCACATATTCAGGTTTTGGCTCAATGGAATGCCACCTTCCATACTCAACTAGCGCAGCAGCCATCGGATGACTTGATTTACACTCAATGCTTGAGACCCTTAAAGATTTAGTAACAAACCAAAACATTAGTTTCTCGAACACCATCAGTTGTTGAGTAAGAAAAATATCAGCATTTTCATGAATACCAGTAGAGCAATGTCTCCAAGCTTATATCTTCACAAAGAGATCGAAAATCAGTCACAACAAATTCACCCCTTGTGATTGTGCCAGTTTTATCAAAAGCTGTGATCTTAATTTTGGAAAGAGTTTCAAGATAATCGCCTCCTTTAACTAGAAGTCCTGATGTTGCTGCCTGTGTTAGTGCACAGAAAGTTGCGACAGGTGTAGAGAGGATAAGTGCACAAGGACATGCACTCACCAAAACAACCAACGCTAGGTGAAACCAGTGGTTTCGGTGATGCAATCTTAATGCAGCTGGAACCACAGCAAGGCTAGCTGATATAAGTATCACAGCTGCACAAAGTAACCAAGAAAAGCAATATTAAATTTGAAAGCAATCACGTAGTGATTACAAGAAGTCTGCGGATAATTTGTTTCTCATGTATGACATAGGATAATCGGAATCATATTGAACTCACCTGGGGTGTAGAATTGGGCGCATTTGTCTATGAATCTCTGTGTCCTAGTTTTGCTGTTTTGAGCTTCTTCTACTAGCTTGGTCATTTTAGCCACCACACAATCTTCAGCTACGGCGGTAGTTTTTACACTGATGTAACCTGCAAGGAAAAATGATCCTTACCACAAAAACCTTAGCAAATTGTATCATAAATTTGCACCAAAACCAAAGATATGCTACCATTTAAGTTGATGGTACCGGCCCATACAATTGAATCCTTTTGTTTGGCAACTGGGAATGACTCTCCAGTTAATGTTTTCTCATCAACTTCACATTTCCCATCTACCACAATTCCATCAATTGGTATAACTTCACCGGCCTTAACTGCAAGGATGGTATTCAATTTGACTTCACCAGCATTCACTTCTTCTCCTGTTTCGGCTATTACTGCCTTTTGAGGGGCAATGCTCATCAACGAGGACATCACAGTAGTAGCCTGATACATTTTTTCATAGTCTCAGGTTAACATAGTTGCACAAATTTGCTTCTTATACTAGGGACTTGGTTTGAGCTTGAGCTTAGGACTCCTGAATTGGAGGCCTCAGCAGTAGCTTACCTTATGGCTTGCCCTTGACTCAAGCCATTCGGAAGTGGTGAACAGGAACACAATGGTTCCAGCTTCAATATAGTCTTTCATGGCAATTGTCCCTATCACTGTTGGACAGAGAACACAAAGTGGATATTAATGTCAAGATTCAAGAGCACCTAGCCCATCAGTTCAAAAATTCACTTTACCCTTTACCCTTTATTAGCTTTATGTAATTCTAATTATATAGGTATTGTTCAATTATTTTAAGATGATGGGTATTCCTATTTAATTAAGGAAATTAGATATGACAAATCAGATATGGCTTTGTTGATGCTTAGCATTAGCAACACTCTGAGCTGTAAAGGTTAAAGCACTCAGCCCACTTAATTAATGGCAACCACAAATTGGAAGGGCAAAGTTGCGGTCACATTTTGTAGGATTTGTCAGAAAAAAGAAAGGGAAAAGATTAAAGAGCTTGATATTCCAAGGAAAAAAAAAAAAAAAAAAGACAGACACAAAGGAGCGTATACTTTAGGGACTAAGATTAGTGCAGGGGCCATTACCTATCTTCAAAAAAAGATTAGTGCAGGGGACAGGGTGTGGAAAAGCTAAGAAAGGATGCTAAAGTAAACCTCTTCAATTAGCTACATTACAAAACGTTATCTGAGTTCAAGAAGAACGAGTAATGTAAAGGTCCGAATGTACAACTAATATTCAAGGGCCTATCTATGATCTATCTATGGTGGCTTTATTAGTGATTTTTTTTTTTAAGTTACAAAAAGAATTTTATTAATCTAGCACGAATATTGTACAATTTAAATTTAAAATATCTTAATTTTACTAATAAAAAATTGTTGTGGAAGTAATTAAGTCATTCGCAGTGGTATATGAATGTTAATAATACTAACAACTAACGAGATGTTCATTACCAATTTTCAAAAAAAAAAAAAAAAAAAAACCAACGAGATGTGGACCTCAATTTGATAATTATATTGGGCACCCATTAAAACCTCATACGGATGGCGTCTTCCGGCTCCAAAAATTTAAAATAATTAATGGTGCAAATACTAATTTAATCCTTCAATTTTGAATTTATACTAAAATTATATTTTAACTTAAAAAATATTAAAATTATCTTTAAATTTTAATTTTTAGTATTAAAATAGTCCTTAAACTTTGAAGATAATATCAATTTAATCTTTAAACTTTGAAAACAAGTATCAGTCCTTGAACTTTGATTATGAATATTAATTTGGTTCTTTAAATTTAATTATTTATCTATTTAATTTATAAAATAGAAACATATTATGATGATAAAATATAATTATTTTATTTTACACTTCATTAGTATTTAAAGAAATTAATTTATAATAAAATAACAAGTTATATGACATTTTTATTAATGGAAGGATTTTTTTGGTATTAAAAATTAAAGTTTAAAAATAATTTTAATATTTTTTAAAATTAAAAAGTAATTTTAATATAAATTTAAAAGTTGAGAGACTAAATTGATGATAGTTTAACCAAAATGAATAGTTTGTGCGTTGAAACTTCGCTCTCATTCCTGAGCAACTTATCCTACAGTTACAATTAAAAAAAATCAAAACCTTACTTTTTTTTCAAAGAATCATTTTTTTTTCTCTAACTTAAAGAAAAATTTATTTCAAACAATGGTATCTAGAATTAAGAAAAAGAAAAAATCAACCAAATTGAAAGACACGCATTAACTAAGCCCAAATAAAATTAATTAAACAATGGTATCGTTGAATTAAGAAGAAAAAAAAAAAACAGATTGAAAGCCACACATTAATTAAGTAAATAATGGTACTCTAGAATTAAGGAAAAAAATTCAACCAGATTAAAAGCCGCAAGTTAATTAAGTACACAGAGTTAATTAAAGATTGAGAAAAGGATTATTAAAATGACCCACAGGGTCTCGTTGGAACAACCTAATTGACAAAGAATAGTCATATTTGAATTGTCGTCCAAAACCTTTTTTTATTAATTGAAATGGTCTTTTAGCTGACGCCATATTCCGAAATTCTGCTACTCCTATCTTTTTCGTAATGAAAAGGAAATTCACCTGAACTGAAAGCTAAGCATCTAACGTAGAAAAATGAATTACCCAACAAAACTTTTAATGTATTAAAAAAATTCTTCTAAAAAAAAAAAAAGAAAAATTCTATCTTAAGCCCTTGAACTAATTTCATTGTTGCATATAAGCCCTTGAATTAGTTTGGAGGCAAATAAACCCCAGACTCGATGAAGCTCAAGGCACATACTTCAGACACCAGTAAAGGGTTGATTGAGTTGGAACACATTAACTTAAAAATATTGATATGAATTTAAGGTTAAGAACTTAAACCTCTATATCACCAAAAAAAAATATATAGGTGGATTATTTAGTATCATCTTTTTTAAATATATATATATATATATTCTACAGTTTGAATTATATCAAATTACATAATATTTATCATTGAATGAAAAAAAGGTTTACATCTCATTCAATAACTTTTATTTTGTAATTTGATATAATTAAAATTGTAAAATAAGAATTTTTTTTTTTAATAATATGCAATGAAAAACATATTTTCCATATGTTAAAAAGGAAGTACCTGCTATAAGCATGAGAATGTTGACATCAATCCTTAGATTCCTGAGGGCTGCATACCCCTTGAGAACAATCGGATAGATGCCAACGGCCGCGGCGGCCACAGCCAGCCATTTGAAGGGAGGGAACACATACTTTAAAAAAGATAGTGCAAGTAACACACCACAAGCAACTGCAAAGGGGCTCGGCCATTTCCTCCGGTAATTCCTTCCTCCATACGCTCTCACATTCGCTTCCAACCTCGCTTCATTCAATGCCTTTACTGTAACACCAACAAATTCATTTGTGCCTTAGTTAATGAAACAATTAATCAATTCCCCGATTTTGAGGGCTAATAAAACCTCATATAGTAAAAAAAAAAAAAAAATTAAAGCCAAAAAGGTATTAAAGTCGTGAATTGGAGTTACTAGATCAATTTATGTATAATGCTTGAATTGAATGTAATTTGTAATATATACCACAGGCAACAAGAAAACAAAATTTAACAATTTGATAAAAATTCAAAGCCAATACTCATTCATTGTCACGTGGCTTTGACATCTTCTAATATAAAAAACTTTAATTTTATTCATATATATTTTTTAAAACAAAAAAAAAATTAATGCATATTAGCACATGGAGTACTTGTTGCACTAGATATGGTGTAGATATACTAAAACTAAAACCTTAGTTTTAATCTTTGTAAATTCAACCCCTTTCTTCATATTTCTTATGTTAAAAAAAAATTAATGCATATTAAATAAATGAGAATTGGAGAAAGGGATCTACCAATTTAAATACACAACTTACAAAAAAAATAATCTTTATTAATTTAAGGTTAACACCACTAAAGGAGATCTAATTTTATTCATATATAAATCAAATCTGATGAAGAAAATAATATTAAACCTAGAATCTTGTAAAGTACATTTCATATCTCATCATTCACGAAAAGAAATAAAGGAAAGAGGAATCAATAATAATATTAAACCACCAAGAGTAAAAAAATGATTTCACAAGTATCAAATGGAAAAAAATAAAATTCAATGTCCTTTATTAGAAAATTAGTAATAGTACCCACCAAAGGTCTACAGCTCGGGAATGATAATATTAGCATGCATCACACACTCACGCTATCAATAAAAAATGAAAACTTGTCTTGACGACAATCTAAACGCTTTGTACGTCCATATTAAATGTTTTTCGCAAGAAAATAATAGAGGGCAGTTGGAAACGGCAGATGTGTCGCAACCAAATGATCTTGTCACGTCACAATGCCCCCACAATCATGGCAGTTAAACATTACGAGATAGCCATAGGTTGTATGCAGCCGTGAGACCCCCAGCGGTGGGTTATGAGTCCACCATAATTAATTGCTCTAAACTAAACGAAATGTAAGTATTATCATGAAACGGATATTTGAATTTAATGATCTGTGGTTAAGTTTTATTGTTTGGTTTTAATTGATATGTAATTTGATTCTCATTAACATTTTAAAAAACTTTCATAAATATCTTGAAAAATCTTTAATTTCTCCATAATACCCTATGTTCAAAAAAAATCATAAATAATAATATAGGGATAGTTTTTTATATAATTTTTATACATTATTAAATAAATATATTTAATATTATAAGTTTTAAGTAAATAAAAATAATTAATTATTTAAAT